AAAATGAAAATTTGAAATCACGTAAAAATTTAGCAATTTTATCAAAATTGTAATTATTAGATAATTTTATAAATTAAAATACGTATAACGCATAAAAATAGAATTACGATTGACTTTATAATAATTAAATAATTTTGACTAAATAGAATTACTCACTTGAAAATATTTTAAATTTCTGAATATGTCGATATAATTTTATATAATTTATAAGTATTTTTTTTTCTTTTTTCTTTAATTATTAAAAAATTAAATTTAACAATTTTTAAATTTTCAATTTATCAAAAATGCTAAATACAATTGATTGGGATGATAATGAAGTTAAATTGTTGATAAATAAAAGAAAAAACAGAAATGAAGAATATTAGTTTATGTTTAAAAGATCAAAGTTACCTTTTTAGAAAGAAGTTGCAGAGAAGATCAAAGAAGAATTTAATACAAATGTTACAGCAATGCAATATTAAGCAAAATTTAAAGGATTATAAAATAAGTAAAATCCTAATTAAGAAAACAAGTGATCTAATTGTATAAAATAAAAATTATAGACAATCAATATTTTTAGTTATTTGAACTTTATGCGAAAGAAAATCTGAAAGGAAGGTAAAGTAAAGTTGGTGAAAAATATGAAAAGCAATTTAAAACTCCATTTTGGAAAAAACCTGATAAGTATTTAAAAATGTATTCTGTTTTATATTTATAGTTAAATTCAACTTTTTATTTTTTAGTTTCTCGAGTAAAAGAAAGAAAGTGATCTAAATTAAAGCGTCATAAGTTTTGTTATTTAAGTTTTAAAAATTTTAAACTTATTTTAAACTAAATTTTATATTTACTTTACTAGAAAATTTAAATAATTCTTATTCTTTCAATCCTTCTTCTCCATGAAGATTTGCATTATTACCTTTACTACCTAATACTGAAATACCATCACAAACTGTAAACTTCTCTACATAATTCTTTTTTTTTAAACCTAATTATCATTCTAACTATTAATATTCTTTTTTTAAAATAAACTTTTAACTGTCACTCTTTTCAACTATTATCATTCCTTTTTCTTTTTTCATTTTCTCCTTTAATTTCATATTCAGTTATTTTTTATAGTTTTTTTTCTGATTTTTGTTAAAAAAAAATTTTTTTTTCTTAAATGAAATTTGCTATCTCTACGCAGTGTTTAGAATTAACAGTTATAGGCTAACTATATCTGACCAAGAGCAAGCATACTTTAATAATTATAAATTTATTCTATTTGTAATTTTATTTTTTTATTTTATTTATATATCATTATTATAATAAATAATAGAACCAATTAACATACAAAAACAAAAATTTTGTTATTAAAATTCTATTTTATTAGTTTTAAAAATTAATGCTTTTTTTGAATTCTTTTTAAATAAATAATGATAAAAACTTTATTATTTAGATTTTTCTAAATAAGTTATTAACTATGGTTGAAACTGCAGCTGAAAATTCAGTTAAACTATTAGTTGAACTAATAGTCTAATCATATTAGATTATATGGTAAAACTGATATTTATTGTAGTTCTTAATTTTGAAATCAAACCAAATTAATTCAGTTATATAACCAGTTTAAAACCAATTTATCTTTAACCGTTAACATCCTTAGAGTTAACTCTTTTATAGTTTACATATATTTCTAATTAGTTTTACGCTAAATCTTAATTATTTTACTTAGTAATTTATTAAAATAAGTTAAGTTTACTAAATACAAGTGGCTTTAATCACAAATTAAGAGTTATCATAGTAATTCATAAAGAGTTTTATGTAAAAAATATAAAATACTTTATTGAAATAGAAAAGAAATAATAAGATAATAATATATAGAAGAATAAAAGAATAAAAATAAGAAAAATAAAGAGATGAAAGGAATATACAAAAGAAAAAGTAATGTTATACTATCTTTTACAAAAGAAAAGTTTCTATATAACTATCAATCTGTCTTTTCTAACTTACAAAAGGACTTGTATTTATATCTTTTCCACTATATATTTTGATATATCTAATATATTAACTATATTAATTATATTTATTATATTAACTATATTAAGCATATTAAACATGTTTAATATGTTTGATATTTTTGATATTTTGTATTCTACTATATATTTGTAAATCTATGATCATTAAGATCATTACTTGATCATAGTAATTAGATTATAAAGTGGTACTCAGATTATATAGTAGTATTTAGATTATATAGTGATACTATAATCTAAGACAAGTGAAATACTACTATATAATATAATTATATTATATAGTGATATTCCACTAATATAAATCAATGGCTTTTAAAAATTAATACTTTTAAATAAAATTTATAAAATTAATTAGTTAATTAATAAATTTAATTTTAAAAATTTGTTAAACTTATTAAATTTTATTAGTAAATTTATTTATAATATTATAAATTTATATTATAAACATTTTACAAATAAAATTACTAAAAAAATTTTTTTACTTTATATTTATAAATTAAATATTATTTTTTTAATAAATTCAAATTTAATATTAACTTAAAAATATTTAATAGTTTTTTATTTTTATTGCAAATATAGTCACTTTTAATATAGTAAACTCTTAATATAATGAATTTTTTGAACAAATATAATAAAAATACTCTTGTTATATCAAATTAGTTAATCAAATCTTTTAAAATCTTTACTATATATAACCTTATAATAAAGGTAAAGTCTAAGACATATGATTTATTATAATAAGAGTTGACTGTATTATATATAAAATTAAAATTAATATTTAAAACTATAATTAATCTTAAATATAATATATATAAAAGGATTTTTAAGAAAATTAAATTCTGAGAAAATTAAGAGTTCAATGTATTTTAATCTAATATAATTAAAAATTAAAATGCAATAAAAATTTCAATTTTATTAAAAAATTTCTAAAATCTGATTTTCTAATAATTAACCTATATATTATATATAATTTTTACAATTCTAAAATAAAAATATAAAATTTAAAATTTATTTTATAAAAAATAAAAGATTAAAAATATAATACAAAATTATATTAAATATTACTATTAAATTATTATTATAAATTTCAATTTGTTAATATATTAAAAAATTATTGTATAATTCCAAAAATAATCACTATGTAATATATATAAATTTATTAGTATATACATGACTAATAATATAATAAATTTTATGTGACAAATAAATAAATTACTATAAAAAGAATATATTATAGGATACTTTTATATAGTAATATATAATAATTCTTTTAATAATAAATAAAATCTAAATAAATTTAAAAGATATAAAAATTTTTTATTATTATTAAATTTTTTATAATTAATAAAATTTGATTTTAGTAATAAATTTATAATAGTAAATAATTAGTTTAAATACAATCACTTTTTATTTTTTGTAATTCACAATTAATTTTTAAAATTATAAACATATTTATTTGCAAAACTATTTAAGAAATAAGTTCTTAAATTTTACATAAAAATATTATAAATATAATAATATAAAAATAAAAAAAAAATTATAATTTCTAATTTCTAATATATTTAATAATTTAATTTATATATATTAAATAATATAACTAAATTAACTTTTCTAAATTAAGAAATTATTAATACATTTTCAAATAATTTAATTTACATATATTAAATAATATAACTAAATTAACTTTTCTAAAATAAGAGATTATTAATACATTTTTTATATGTTAAATATACTGACATTAACTGAAATAACCTTAAAAATTTTTAAAAAAATTTTTTTATTTATTAATTTAAAAAATATGATTTTTTTTTTTTAAAAAAAAAATTTATTAATTTTAATAAATTATTTTTAAATTTTTAATTTTAATATTTAAATAATTATTTAATTATAATTTATTTATATAAATTATATTAGATTTTTATTTATATCTAATTTAATTATATAAAAAAAATTATTAATTAACAATTGTATATTATTTTTATTATTTTCAATTTTATATGATAGGTTTATTTGGATTATATTATATTAATAAAATGAAAATTATGATTTTAAATTATGAAATTAATGAATTGATTGTGTTAGTTTTTTGTAAAATCACATATCTTCCTTTTAGGATAACAAAATATATTTCTTGTTTTTAATTAACATCTTAGACTTGAATTTAATAATATTAATTGTCAGCTTTATTCTTCGAATACATTCAAACAGTAGGCTGGCTTATTAAATCTCTCAAAGATAGTTGTGGGTTACTTTAATGAAGTTAGAGAATTAAACTTATTTCACTGGAGTATAATTATCACTTTTTTCTGATTGAACTTTAATAACAATTGTTAATTTTATTGAGGATACAAAAAATTTTGAATGTCAAATTTAAAACATGCGAAATTTACACGACATAAATATTATTAAATGCCAAAAAACCAGTTTTGTAATGACATCAGCTACAAAGAAAAATTTTAATATTGTCATCCTCCCTTTTGACCTACATGAACGACCGATTATTGGTTCTTGATTTTGTAATTATTAAATAATGTTCAGGTTTTTTTTGGCATAATGGAAAATTTTCAAAAATTCAAAACCCTTTTTCTTCCGTCGTAATGATAAACACCGTTCTACTGTCGTATCACTTGAGAGTTATTTAGTTCGGATTATCTATGCGTGGGTACAAAAATCTGAGAATTTGTGCCTTTGGGGATTTTAATAACAATTATTCATATCAATCACAACTGGTCATAATCTTGCAGTATAAATAAAAATATATATATAAAAAAAGTTCTATATAAACAATTTAGAATTCATTATTGAGGTCTAGATTCTCATAAAAATTACGATCCCATCTATGAACTTTTCTCTAAAATACTTTTTTCATAATGATAAAATATTCGATAGTTATAGTAATTTATATTATAATAAATTTAATAAGTCTTATATTATTATCAATATTAATTTCTTCATTATTAAAATCTGAATCTCACCTTACGAAATGGACATTATTTCAATTATTCATTTCAGCATTTGGTCATGTATTTTCCACTTTATCACCAATCCTTATTTACGGAAATGAATTAACGGATCATGGGTTTGATAGTCCGATTTGTATTATATCAAATAAAGTTACAACTTTTGCATCATACCCTTTACAATTTTTTCCATTAGTCATATCGTTTTATTTATGGTACGTGCTAGTCAAGCAAGATCTTGAAATCGAAAAGAGATGTTTTTGGTGGGTTTCTGCTATAATTTGGTTATTCACCATAGTGTACACCATTTCAGAGATAATATTGTCGACTAACGAAGACAATTGGGGGGTTTTGATTTCTTCATTTAATTGCAAGGGATCTAAAAACAAGAGAAATTTTTACGGTTATGCAATTCCAACAATATCGCTGGTATTTGTGGCGCTGATAATGACGTGTAAGCATAAAGAAATGAATTCACTTTGCTTTTGAACCTCTCTCTATCACAAAAAGTTCACCGTTTCTCCTATCTTTAGGTCATACTTCAGTTATCTTGTATAACCGATGGAAGAAATTTAATGACAATATGAACAGGACAACAGCGATTAAATTAGGACGGGCGGTTCGATTGAACATCCTCTGTATTTTGTACATAACATATTTGTTATTTACACTCATACCTCGTTTCATAAGTCATCACAGTAACCTTCCATCATCTTCATATTTAGGTAATTTTATGAGCGCATCAATGTATGTAGTAAATTTTTTAAAGAAATTTGTATTTATCCATTTTACCCATCCATTCATTTTTTTTTTTTTTTTTTTTTTTTTTTTTTTTTTTTTTAGAGGAATATTATTGTTTTTAATTTTTGGATCGAATAAAAGAGCTGCATTATTTCTTCCATTTTGCTATTATGTTCCTCCTGATAAACCAATTAGAGCCCCAATGTATGATGATGATGAAATTGTTATCATTTCAACGCAACCATCCGTGTAATGAACATCACTTTATGCTTGTTATGCTAATATTCGATCGATATCGTAACTTACTTGTGTTAGGTTAAAATCGTGACGTAATTTAGTTATTCCCGATAAGTAATAATGTTGTGTTTCGCTTTGGTTATTTGTTTTGTTCTTTATAATTTTGAGAGACATTTTAAGGAAAAAATATTATTATTATCATTGTTTTCTTTTAAATAAGGTTAACTTCGGATAATCCTTAAATGCAAAACAGAAAAAAAAAATTTAGTTGCATGACAAACAAGGATTTGATGAAATTATTAAAATATATGGTTTCTTTTAAATATAAAATTATTATTAATCGTATATGCAGGACTTCGGCAAATTTTTGCCGATTGTCAATAATTATATAAATTTATATTTGTATTTTTTTTTTTTTAGTCAATATTATAATAAAGATAATATTACGTGTATTTTTTTATTTTATTTTTTAGCAAACTAGTTGAAATTTAAATTAAGGATACTGTTAAAATTTATATATTTATAAACCATTTGATTTTATAATGTTTTTAGAAATTCGTTTATAATTGTATAAAGAATAGATTAAAATATTAAAATTAGAAAATTTCTTAGTAAACACGGGGTGTATGAACACGGGTCATATGATATATAAGCTTATTATGCGGAGTTTCGTTTAGTTTAGGCCTTAATCTCTTTAGCGAAGTCTAAAGTTTTACAAATAATCCCTTTACTCATATATCTTAAAAAATGCATAATTATCAACCTCCATTTTATAAATTTGAAAACCTTCTTAATACAAAACCTTATATTTTGCAAAATGAGATAAATTCAGTTGTTCATTTTCAGGTATAGTAATGGAAGTGAGGTGGTATCAATGTATTAGTTTTTGATAAAATAAAAAAGTGTTACATTTTAGAGTGATATTTGCAAAAAAATAGTATAGTATATTTGAGTAATTTTTCTGTCATATATATCTGTATGTAATCAATATTGCAAGGATCACAGTAACAAATCTAAACAACTAATAATATAAAGATCACAAGAAGATAATCAAAAGAGTTTATACAAATAAGAAAATAATACAGTTAGGGTAGAAAATGATGTGATAGTTAGTTTATGAAATAATAATTCTACTATTAGAATATATAAAATATATAATAACAGAAAAAGACTAAAGAAATAACTAGAATATTAAAAAAAATTAACCAGTATAAAATAATGAGAAGAAGATTATATCTAAGATAATCAGATTATGAAAATAGGTTATATCATGATAAATATTAGATTATGAAGTAACAATTAGATTATGAAATAGTAATCAGATTATATCTGTATTATAATATAATAATTGAATAAAAATTAGATTATATCTGTATTACTTAAGTTATAAAATAGTAGTTATCACTTAATTTAAATGGTATACTACATTTTAATTAGTCTATAATGTAGCAAAAGACTATATAAGTGCTTTGCAGTAAAAAGGAAGGAAATCACTAAAAAAATTTTTTTTACTTTTAAAGTTAAATATTATTTTTTCTAGTAAAATAAATTCAGATTTAACATTAACTCAAAAAATTTTTTTGATAGCTTCCTCCCTTTCTCAAAAGTTTGATAAAGTAAGTATTAGTGTGAATTTTTTAATTAAGATTATTTTAAACTTAACAATAATTTATTTTCTAGTATATTATATTAAAGCATGATATACTATTATATTTTTATTTTTACATTGTATAAACCTATAAGGCTTTATTATCTAGCAATCTTAATATTAGATAATATTATATTATTTTTATATTATTTTATTTATATTATTTAATTAAAAAATTAAATTAAATCAAATACAAAAAAAACTAATTATAATTCTTTATAACTTATTTAAATTAGTTTGTTAATTTGATTAAAAATTTTAATTTTGTATATTTATTAATAAATTTATTTTAAAATTCTTTTTACATAATTAATTATTAAGCTCTTTAGAAATTTATTCTGTTTATTCTGTTTCAAAAGTAATAAAATAATCTTATATAGATCCAATTAAACATCACGTGACGAATGCTTTAAAAAAATATCGATAAATTTTGGTGCGACATCTAAAAACAATTTGATTAAATAAATTTTTTTTTTTAAAAAAAAAAAATTTTTGACGATTTCTTTTTTTTTTTTTGTTACAATTACATAATGCCTTCGAATTCGTCACCGCCAACAGAAATTGGATGTCCAATACCAGCAAATACTCCACATGCAATATCAGTTACATTACCAACATGGCAAGATAATATTGATTATGAAGAAGCAGTAGATAGGGTAGTTAGTCGTATGGAATGTGGTTATCCAAGGTTTTTTATTCATCCGCAAATAAAAAAGGTAAATTACATTTCTACTTTTTCAATTACATATATTTTTTAATATACCTTAATATCATTTTGAATTTATTAAAGTTGATAACAGTATGCGATCAGAAATTTGCAAAATCAACAGAAACATCTTTATTGTTTCCAAGTCGTAAACCAACACAAAGATGTCGAGATTTTATTCATCGATATTATAAACCAACAACACCACCATTGACCTCATCTTCGTTACATACTCCAACACCATGTGTCCGGTTAGCTGAGATTACAGTTATTCCACCTGATAAAATAAAATCATCATTTCATGGGAGTGTAACACTTTATGTGGTCTTATTTCCTAAAGATGCATTTCCTATAGCAAAATCATATTGGCAACATACAGGAGAAGGTTTAAGTTCAAGATGTGCCGAATATTGTTTACATATTATGCAAGCTAAACATGATGAACAATATTCTATTACTGACAATTATAATGAAAAATCTACTCCCGTTTCAGCCTCTTCAAGAAAACATACTTTTCATAAGCGTTATTCTTTAAATACACAAATATCAAACATTAGTAGAGATTCTTTTTCTAATGAAGTAACTGGACCTAGATCACCAACATCACCAACTTCATTTACTGGTTTAACATCTACTGATAAATCAGCTACTGTAGAAGAAAATTATTATGTGGAAGAAAGATATGGGCGTAATCTTCCCATTTCATTTGCTGATAAAGCTAAAATTGCACTTAGAAGAAGGATCGCTGGTGTTCTTGGCATTGAAGATCAGTATAGTAACAAGAATGATGACCATGATAATTTAGATGATGTTATCAATAGAAAAGTTGAGAATGCATGTGTTACTGAAAGAGGTGTTAATGGTGTTACTGAGGATGATGTATTTTTATTTCCTTCTGGAATGAGTTCAATTTTTCATGCTCATAGATATATTCTTAGTGGTTTTCTTCCAAGTAAAAGTATTTGTTTTGGGTGAGTATTGAATCCGGAACGAAAAAATTGATATATATATATAATTTATTTACTTGACACTTTATCAATTTCGTTAGCTTTCCATATATTGATACTTTGAAAATTTTGGAAAAATTTGGGCCGGGATGTCATTTTTACGGAAATGGTTCAACAGAAGATATTGATCATATAACAGATTTATTAGAATCAGGAGAAAAAATTTTAGCCTTATTCTGTGAATTTCCATCTAATCCATTATGTAAATCACCAGATTTGAAGAGATTAAGATTATTAGCTGATAAATATGATTTTTTAATTGTAATAGACGAAACTATCGGTAACTTTGTTAATGTTGGGGTATTGGAATGGGCCGACGTTTTAGTTTCTAGTTTAACTAAAATTTTTAGTGGCGACAGTAATGTCATGGGTGGTGGGTTGGTTTTGAACCCCCAAAGAAAACATTATGGAAAATTGAAACAATTAATAAAACAAGATTACGAAGATTTGGTATGGGGTGAAGACGCTATATTTTTAGAAAGGAATTCTAGAAATTTTCGTGATCGTATCCTAAAGATCAATGAAAATACTGAAGAATTATGTGATTTCCTTTCCAAAAGTCCAAAAGGTAAACAGAAATTTTATTTAGTGAATTGCAAATTTCGTCAACAAAAATCTAACTGCTTAAAAATTTTTAGTTAAAAAAGTATATTACCCAAAATATATTACACCAGAAATATATTCACAATATAAAATAGAAAAGGGTGGTTATGGTGGATTATTTTCATTAACCTTTTACTCATCAAAAGCTTCACAACAATTTTTTGATGCTTTACCTATAGCAAAAGGTCCTTCTTTAGGTACAAATTTTACTTTAGCTTGTCCTTATACCATACTTGCTCATTATTTAGAATTAGATTGGGCCGCCAAATTTGGTGTTGAAGCTGGTTTAGTTAGAGTTAGCGTTGGATTAGAAAATAAGGAAAAGTTGTTGGAAGGATTTCAAAAAGGATTAGATTCTATTAAATGATGATGAATTATGATCAAAAGAGGGAAGCGTTTACATCTGAAAAAAAAGTAGGAAAATTATAGAAACATTTCTAACTTCATTTTTCATAATTTATAAAACAAAGAAATAATATCAAAACATTTAATCGTTAAAATAACGTTTATTCATTACTAAAATTTTATACATCTTTAAAAATAATAATAAGGATATAATACTATCACAATGCATTGAGACATGATCATGATTTCCAAGCAATCATTAGCCAATTTTATTATAATAAAATTTTCGATTGAACTTTTACCATTCATATCGAAATATTAAAAATTTCGGAATTTTAAGGTTATTTAATTTAAATATATGTACGATAAAGATCTTATAGAGGAAATAAAGTACGCAATATTTATGGTCTTATTCTTTTTGACATTTTAATTGTAGTTTTTGAAAGTTATGATTGAATGAATATTTATTATAGAAATATGTTGTGTTTATATATATTTTTTTTTTAAAAAAAAATTAATTAAATTAAATTAATACATTAAAAATGGTTACAACGACTGCAACGAATATGTTTTTTTATGCGTTATTTTTCTCTGGTACTACTTCCTGTGATAATCTTTTTTTATCCTTTATGATATCCTTTCCTCTAAGGTCTTTCAAAATGCCATTAAATACGCTAATGATACTATTACGAGATTCAAAAACCTGAAAATTTTAAAGATGTTTGTCTCATTAATAGCGATCTTACAGGTAAAAATCCAAAAAAAAAAATTATACTTACGGGATAAATAGTACAAGAGACAGCAGCACAAATAGCCCAAATCATTGAAATTGCCACCCAAAATGTAAAGAATGGTTTCGTGAAAACATAATTGGAGAAATACATTGGTAACGGCCATATGAAAATCAATACGATCGTTAATAAAATTGAACTAGTAACGGCAAATTTGAAAGCTGCCCTTAACCTAACGGGATCCCTTTCAATTGGATCATCATGAAGAGTATTAGTTACTACTTCATCATCCGTTAAAACTTCTAATTTCGTTCTCGTTATTTCGAAATCAAAGTTAGCTGGCTTTACCAATGACAAAACCGTTGTTATTAATCCTGATGTGATTAAGGAGGTGCTATATAAATGAATGATAAGGTAAAAAAAAAAGATTTGCAATGCGTATCTGAAAAAAAATATATATATATATATATATATACATGCATAAATCAATGATACTTACAGATTTCCGGCCAACATGGGATAATTTTCACCGGTCGATTTAATCGTAATTTCATGATATAGAGATTGAGCTGTGACAAGCCATGCCGTTATACCACAAACAACGCCCATTAAAGCAGCAGAAACAGCAGCAGTGGCGCTTTGTTTTGACCAGGTAATGGTGTATGTAACAGGAATAACGGCAGGGGAAGAAATAATTCCCATAAGCAAATACATATATCCTAAATCTATTCCGATGAAATTAAGTATAATAGCCAAGATGCTCATAATAATACCAAAGGCAATAATGGATATGTGTGATTGACGGATAACTTGTCTTCCAAGAGCCTAACATATTCATTATATTATAAGAAATTATTTTGTGGAAATTTTCGAGAAGAAAAAGTAAACTGGTTGTCTCTTTAAAAATGCTTACGCCAGAATGAATATATGCGCGATAAATATCATAAGTGTAAATTGAAGATACGGCAACAAGTTCGGCTGAAGCAGCAGATCTATATAAGAAAAAATTTTGTTAAATATTATAATTTACCCTTTAAGCTTCAATGCTAATAATACATACGTGACAGCCATGAAAATTAAGACCATAATCGCGAAAGCACCAGCTTTACCCAGAAGAGCAGTAGCAGCTAATGGAAGTACTAAACCAGCAGAAACATCTTGATCCGTAAGAGGGTCTAATTTACCCGCTCCGACAAGAGCAACACCGGCGATGCCCATAGTAGTAGCCAAGGTGAATGGAATTGAAAACCATGATAAACCTCCAATCAAATAAGCCTTTACGGTAGAAGAAGGTCGAGAAGCGATAGCACGTTGCCAATAAGCATTATCCACAAATACGGTTCCGAAATTACCAACAATATTGATGATACCGAAGATTAAGCCTTGCAGAGATGCCATCGTTACAAATGATCCTTGTTCATTATCAGTTACAGCACAGATCCCATATGATGGATATTCCGCAATATTCGGATAATCAATTTTAAATTGCTCTTTATCGCAAGGTTTTTCGGAGACTTTAACCAACAAATCATACATTTTTTGTGGAGATCCGATCATATCCGAAGAACCGTAAACAGTGAATAAGAAGGAAAGTATAATAACAAAAATAACACTAGTATGTACGTAATCCGTCAAGAACGTTGCTTTTAGACCACCAAATAATGTATAAATCAATACACCAAATGGAAGTAAAAAGCAAGATGCAATAATATTGACACCGGTGAGTGCATTTACTACAGCTGAGCCACCGAGTAACAACATGGCTGTCACAATCACTAAATTACATAAATTACAGAGAATTTATTTATTGAGGAAAAAAAAAAAAATCTTAAAGCGCGTTTTTTTAAAGGTTTTTCATGATTTCAAAATGAATTAGATACAAAGTATTTTATGTTATTATTTAATGATTTCTTTACCATTAGTGGCCAAACCGAAGAATAAAAAGACAAGATGGGTTCTTTTTCCGTAACGGACATTAATTATTTCGAGGAAGGTATGTGCATTTGGAGCTTTACGTTTAAGTTCAATAGCAAGAATAGCGAAAAGCAAAACCTATATTCAATATATTGTTAATATAGAAAGCTTCAACACGTGGAATGAATAGTAATAATTACCTGGATGCTAGCACCAGCGGCATACCAAAAAGGTCTAAAATGAAAAAAGAAACCAGTGATTTCAACAAATTAAAGCCCATGAAAAAAGCTTCAATAAGGTAATTAATTACTTACCCAGAAACGCCATATTTATATGCAACAGAAGAGGATTGTAAAAGCGTAGCAGCCCAAGTCCAAGAAGAAACCACAGCGGATGCCACAAGACCAGTTTTTACAGAACGATGAGCCGTCATAAACATTTCGGATGTTTGGTATTCTTGGAGATAACGTTTTTGGGCCATCGTTAAAAGTGTCATTAAAATAGCAAAGAATGCACCAAATCCCAAAACTACATAATAAATAAAAAGAAAGATTATGAATTAATTGGAAAAAAAGATTATTAACTTTGGATAAAAAGCATCAAGATTACCGATTCCCCAACCAATTCCTTGATCGAGAATAATCTCGGCCATTTTGTTAGTCGTTATTTTTTCACGAATAAGAAAATTTTTTTTTTTCGCGTTTTTTTTTTTTTAAAGAAAAAACCGTTAAATAAATAAGATTAATGAAAAGACGATCAATAACATAACATCGGCCATTAAGCCAATTTTGGAACTTTTTATTCTCTTTTTAAATTAAACTGAAATGAAAGTCTAACCGTTTATAAAATTGTTAACTCGGAAAATAACGCATGATCACGAATTTAGAATTAAATGAGCAAATAAAAAAATTAATTCTTCAAAATATGGTAACTTTTCAAAGCGGATAACGATATGAGTTTTGAATTGTAGATAAAATTTTACCGCTGTAGCAAAGTTCAATCTATCAAGGACTTGGTTAATCCAGCAATCATTTGAAGGACATTCTCAATTGTAAAATTTTTGATCCAAATCGTGTTAAGAGTTGATTTCCTTGATCGTATAGTGATCGTTAGAAAATGTTAATAATGTTAATACATATATAAATGGTTGACGATGAATAATTTTCACGTTGAATCAAAAGTTATAATTTTCAAGTTTAGGTAACTATAATAAAACTTAAAAATACAACTATTTATGGTAATAATATTTTGAGTTTAATGTGATATGACAAAAGGCATTTAACTTATTGCGAACCATCCTTATGCGAGAAAATTTTGTGATGACCCAAAGTTCATCTGATAAAAATGAGTTTAATAAATTTTTATAATAAAATCAGTTTATACGAAACTCAATTGCTAACTTATTTACATTTTTTATAGGTGAGAAAGTCTTTTTGGTTGCCAAGAAGTAAATAATTTTAATTCAAATTTATCAATTATTCAACGATGCTATTTTCGCAGCAACAGAAGCTAGAGCTGATAATATTGTTGCTACGGTTTCGGTATAAACAAGCAAACAGTAATTATTATTTACGAGACTGAACAGCTATTTAAAGCAATATATCATTCATTTGGTTCTTGAAAACTTTTTATTACCACAATAAACCAGCTTATTAACATGTTCATAATTAATATGAATTTCCATACTTTTGATTTATTTGGCGCAGTACGACCGTAAAACAAGAGTCATTATTAAAATTTTTTATGATTTAGAGCATTAACGTGTTCTAATTGTATTTCACAAGAAGGTAGTAGACATATATTAAGCCGTAAAATACCTTCTCAAGCAAAGTCAAAATTTGTGGTTTACTTTTAATGCCAGTCACTGAAATGAAGACTCCCTTTTTTTTTGCGTTTGGGAACATTGGATAAAAGATTTCTGTTTATTATCTATTTATAATACCAATGTTTACGTGTCATTTCATCATTAAAAGATTTTTTTTTTTTTATAAATTTTATTGTGTTTTTATTTTTAAAAAAAAAAAAGATCAAATCTTTAAGAGAAGCTCAAGTCTTCGGCTCCATACTCCATACTAATTAAGCAAAGTAAATGAGGAAGGTAAGTTTACAAAAAATGCAGCGGCTAATCAAATTATAATAATTCGATTATAATAAATACATAGGAAATTTTGTGAGGAAAATACCATTAGCGAGCGAACATTTAACCAATAGGGTAAAGGTAGCATTTAATAACTATGTATATCAGAGTAAATCCATATAATAAAAAAATTTTTTATTATTGATTTAACCAACCCAAACTCTAGCGTTTCTAAACATTCTTAACCAAGGCCCAACTTCACCCCATTTTTTTCCTTCTTCAACGGGATACCAAGAATTA